CTGTTCGCGTTGCTGGCGTTGTTCTAGTGGACCGTCACCGAGGTGGTCGTATCGATAGCATCATTTGGATTTTGGTCTCGACATTGGTTGGCGAGCCTGACACGTCTGGATGTTTAAAGGCTCGCCAACCAGTAGGAGAGGTCGCCCTGGAAACACAAAAACAAACTGATTGGACTGCCAAATATCAGCCGAATTGACTGTCGAACTCACTGTTCAGTTGAGACGGGTACACTTTGCTTACAAGGAGAGGTCCTTAAGGATAAAATGCCTATGAGATACTCCCGGGCGTAAAAGGAAGTCGCCTACAAGGCATATGACATGTACAAAAACGCGCGAGGTACCCTACCTGTACCTTCTCGCGAAAACGAAACGATCGAAATTGTACAGAGGCACTTGTACGAAAAACGCCCTGTGCGACTTTTTACCCTTGGCCGACGAAATTTTCTGCTTGGCTGTAATTCGCGGCACCTCCACCTGAGAGTCATTCGCGCAGTACACCAGGGTCCTGGGTTTCGGGGACACAAGGCATTACGTTGACACTCGAAGGCACAATTTTGGGCGTTTGCGTAGTACGTACCTAGCCCTTCCAAAGCCTGAAACGTACGCGCTGGACATGCCCAGAGCGAATTTGTGAACTCCGTTTTCATGCTAGACCCTGGCATCAGCTTGGCTGAGGTATGGTCAAATCGGAGGGCCCAGGACGGACCACACAAATCGCAGGCGTGATTTCGCTTGAAGCTTCGGTTCCGCAGGGATTGTTTCACGAACACTGTACAGCCTCTCAGGGGCAGTCGAGTCAGCGTGCTCAACCAATCGGCCTCGCTTCCTTTCCACGGCCCCACCATTCCCGCGTCACTGGTTGGACAAAATTCGTGGCGGGCGTTCGCTTTCACCTGCATCTTACCAGCCGACAACCAGATTTGACGGCGTCTGAATCTCCTCGTCGCAGGTTTCGCGAGAAGTTACCTGGGCCTCGTGTGCCACGTCTGTGCGAAAGTCTTCAGGAATGAGGTATCAGGCTGAGACAGACAAGGCCCGTCTGTCAGGTTGGGCAGCGCAGCAACCCCCTCCCCCCACCCCCACCCCACCCTACCCCACCCTACTCCCTCCACCCGCATCACAAGCGGCGCCTCGATTCCACCATTCACGCGGCTCGACAATCCCGAGGCATTCAAAGCCCCTGTCATCTCCGACCCAAATGCACCAATTTCCCCTTCGGCTCTGTTTTGGGCTTCACACGAGCTTTGTTTAGACCACTACTGCACCAGCAGCAGCCACCTAAAACTCCACCACTTCACGCAGTCGCCCGACCTGTCCCGCCCGCTTCCATCTCCCTTCACAACCATCCGCCACGTTCCATTCGCTGACACCGCAACTACGACTAAGAATTTCGTCGCGGAAATCGATCGACATCATGGCTGCTGCTGCTATGAGGAATCACCGTGCGGCTCGAAGGTTGCTGGGCCACCCTGCAGCGCATCAAACGACACTGCGATTGGCCTACTGCACCACCGTCGTAAGCAATCCCCGTGATCTTAAACACGACGCTATAAAATCGGAAAAATGACGCTAACCGAGGAGTCCGAGACGCTTCCCCGACACATTTTTTTCTCTGATGTCGCATCGGTACTAATGATGTTTTTTTTTTCGTCTCTTACAGCTCGAGACTTCTGGTATTAGTAACGTAGCGCCCCACGTGACTTCATCCATTTTCTCCCCCGCGACGCGCATCGGCTCCACGCCCGAGGCTTCCACGATTGTGCGAACAGCCTTCTGGAGCGCGTCGCACGCTTCAGCCACAATCCAACCTGCTTCGTCGGCGGCTCGAAAGGAGAGCATGCTGATTGGCCAGCATTGGACGGCGGTACAGCAGCGTATTGGCGGTGTAGCGGCTGCGAGTCCGATGACTGAACAGCTTACGATGCAGATTCGCCCGCATAACACGGCGACAGCTCGAGTTATGGAAGAGGAGCCAGAAGAGCAGACACAAAACATCAAGGTAAACTACATGCTATTTTCCCTGCAACTTGTACGCTAGTCCAATGACTGTCTTTACTCCATTCGTCTCAGATGCGACTCAAGACCTTGTTTTCAGCTCTGATGGCGGGTTTGTTTTCTTTGCGTCCAGCCCAATCCGCAAAACGAGCCTCCTGTGGACATTTACAAGATTGCTCGTGACCCGGAAGCATTATCTCAGTATTGGGGAATCAAGCCCAAGCAGTATTTGCGTGAGGACGGCACTCCCTGGCCCTGGCGGTCATTCCGGGTGAGTGGTATACCGTCACGTTATTCTAACGGCTTTAGCACATGACAATTGTGTTTTATATACGGAGGATGGGGGTTTGTGTTACAGCAATCTGCGATTGTGAACTTTGTTTCCCAACTTTCGTGGCTCAGACTTGTATGTCCTCGTTATTGAGTCTCTGTCGGCTTCTGCATTTGTTGAAATGTGCAGCCATTCGACAGCTACAGTGCGAACAGGAAAACGGAGCTGGATAGGCACTACCCTATTACCAACTTCGGCGACGCTTTCGCCAAGTACCTCGTCAAATCGCTCCGCTTCCCCACCGATCTCTTCTTCCAGGTACCGTTTCCCTGCCCTTCTCCTCAGCCGCTCTTTTTTTACTGAAAGCCCTGAATTCCTGTCGCTTCTTTCTGTGTCATCGATTCATCGCTGTTATTCGTCCGTTGGTAGTTCGTATGCCCATCAGTTAGCATCAGATTCGTTGTTGATCATGTTCCTAGTTCGTATACTTGCTCCCTTCGCGACGTTTCCCACGCTGTTCCCTTCATCGCTCCCCTGTCAGCCGTTCGACCATGAGCATTTTTACCGGGATATGATGTATCCATGTTCCTAGATTCACAGCTTCACCCTCTAAACCCACCCACTCCTCGCAGAAACGCTACGGCTGCCGCGCAATGATGCTGGAAACGGTAGCCGCAGTACCGGGCATGGTGGCGGGCATGCTGCTGCACATGCGCTGCCTGCGCCTGGTGGAGAACAGCGGCGGGTGGATCCGCGCGCTGCTGGAGGAGGCGGAGAACGAGCGCATGCACCTCATGACCTTCATGGAGGTCTCCAAGCCCACGTGGTTCGAAAGGGGACTCATCTTCACCGTTCAGGTGAGCAGTCGTTCAGGCAAGCTCCTACGGTAAATGCCAAGAGGCCGGGTGGATCCGCGCGCTGCTGGGGGAGGCAGATAACGAGCGCATCCATCTGATGACCTTCATGGAAGTTTCCAAACCCACGTGGTTCGAAAGGGGCCTCATTTTCACCGTTCAGGTAAGCCCGCGGGCAGTCGTCATTGGATGGCCGTTCAGGTAAACGAGACGTCTCAATTTGAGGTGGGTGAGTAAAACACGTACCTCCAGTTTCGCCCCTGATCCCCTTCATCCCCCTCACAGAGCGGCTTCGCTGCAGTGTACAGTCTCGTGTACGTGCTCTCCCCTCGCATCGCACACCGAATCGTGGGCTACTTGGAGGAGGAAGCCGAGCACTCGTACACACAGTACCTCAAGGAGGTCATCCCCCCCTCACCTGTCTCATCCCCCTTACAGAGTGGATTCGTTGCAGTGTACAGCCTCGTGTACATTCTGTCTCCACGCATCGCCCATCACATAGTGGGGTACTTGGAGGAGGAGGCGGTGCACTCGTACACGCAGTACCTGAAAGAGCTCCTCCCCCTTCATGCTCTTTATCCCCCTTACAGAGCGGCTTTGCTGCAGTGTACAGTCTCGTCTACGTGCTCTCCCCTCGCATCGCACACCGTATAGTGGGCTACTTGGAGGAGGAGGCGGTGCACTCGTACACGCAGTTCCTCAAGGAGCTCGACGAGGGGCGCATCGCCAACGTGCCGGCGCCGCAGATCGCCATCGACTACTGGCAGCTGCCCAAGGACGCGACGCTGTACGACGTGGTGCTGTCTGTCAGGGCGGACGAGGCCCACCACCGCGACGTCAACCACTACGCTGCGGTGAGATTTTTACCTGGTAACCTGGTTTCAAAATATGCGAATCTGTTTGGCAATGCTCTATGATGTGGTGCTGTCAGTGGTGCTTTCGGTGCGGGCGGACGAGGCGGCCCATCACCGCGACGTCAACCACTACGCTGCGGTGAGCTTGTATTCTGGTAACCCGGTTACAAATTAGGTGTTGAGAGGAGAGATGTAGATCGCCATCGACTACTGACAGCTGCCCAAGGACTCGTCGCTCTATGACGTGGTGCTGTCGGTGCGGGCGGACGAGGCCCACCACCGCGACGTCAGCCACTATGCTGTGGTGAATCTGAGGAGATTGGTAACCTGATTGCAAAACCTTGTGCTTGGCTTTTGAGTGAGAAAATGCCCATGGTAGGCTGTTGTTATACAAATAAGTATACACCACCCTCTGGTCTTTCCATCTCAATCTCACCAGTCTTATTCTCTCATGGCTTTTAAGTTTCAATCCCCCATGCACCCATCCCCTAATGCAGACCATTATCAAGGCAGGCAAGCACCTCAAGGAACACCCAGCTCCCGTGGACTACCACTGATGCTGCTGTGTATGCCCCCTAAGTGCATGCCGTCCATGGCACCTGCTTCCCATCCTCCATGCTGCAAAATTATCAAAGACATTTGTGGAGCTACTGTAGCATGGAGCTGTCACATCTGACGAGGCGATGATCCGCCAAGGCCTCATTAGCTGCATCGCTGAAGGGGTAAATAGCTGCATGCATCTTTAGTGAGGCTTGTTGAGCCCCTTCCCCCACCAGTGCAGTTTTGGTTGTGCCGCGTGGCTGCTTTGTAAAGTGGGATATTAGTCTGTGTAAACGTTTTTTATTTATTAATACGTGTGCTTGGCTTTTTTCTTCAGAAGAGGTGGTAGATTAAAGAAAAATGTAATATACAATTTCCGTTGCTGCGATACGAAGTGTATATGGGGGGGGTGTCTTATCCTCACTTCAGTGGCGCTTGTTGAAACTTGAGGTCACCGCGCCCTAGAATGCAGAAGCTCCTCTCAATTTCTCAACGGCTAGAAAAGGCTGAAGGCTGAAGGCTGAAGTCTGAAGGCTGAAGGCTGAAAGCTGGGCTGTGATCAGCAATGGCGACTTCACGACAGGAGCAGCTCCTTCAACGACCGCCGGAGACGGTAGCCGAAGTACGCGATAGAGACATTTCCGTTAGTAATCGTATGTGGAGATCCATGCGTGGAATTCTTACATTGACCCTTCCCCTCGTATCTCTCCAAATAGCGTTTATCGGGACCCACCTCCTCTCACCTCCTCTTACGCCTTTCCCCGCGTGCCCTCGTCGCCAGAACGGGCGTGAGACTTCTCTTTCCGATCCCGCCGTTCTCATTCTCCCCGTTTTCCCTCCCGAATCCCATCAGCCTCACCGAAGGATCCCGAAACCACGCACACGCGACGGCTTGTGAGTCGACTTAAAACCAGAACGGCCGTGAGACTTCTCTTCTTTAACCCTTCGTTCTCATTCTTTCCATTTCCCTCTTATCAACCTCTCTGCTCCTCCCGCGACCCGTTTTTGTGTCGCTCAGCGATTCTTCTGCGACCTCTTTGCGACGGGCGTGGGCGCAGGGCTCGCCGTGCGACACACGAGCGACATGGGGCGGGGTGAGTGGAGTGAATGGGCAAGGACGGGGGGAAAGAGACGCGGGTATGGGGCTGCCTTCCCATCACCTGTCACCTGCCAGGTCAACAGCCACCTATCGTCTACCATCCGTCATCTGCCACCTGTCACGTGCCACGTGCCACGTGCCAGCTCACCTACCAATCTGTGCCTCGTGTGGTGACTCCCCTGCTCTCATCCAATCAGGGGTGTTCGCTGATGTGGATTTCAAGGAAGGGGACGTGGTGCTTCAGGAGCCTCCGCTTGTCGCGATGCAGCACTCTCACAATAGGGTAAACAACCAGCTGCATGAAACGTAACAATAAGTTCCGCGTTGAACCAGTCAGCAGTAGGGCAACAAGCAACCTGAGCGTCGTCCATTAGAGGAGAAATTATTGCTCATTGCTTCCTGTGCCCCCCCGAACCCCCCTCCCCTTCCCCCTCCCCACATTCCCAAGGCGCGAGCCCTCGTATGCTCTCATTGCTTGCGGTTCATTGGTCCGCTGGAGCTAGCTGCTGCCCGGCTGCTGATGTGGCAGAAGGGAATGAGAGAGGAGGAAGACAAGGGCGAAAGCGACGAGGGTAAGGAGGCGGAGGAGGAGAATAGAGAGGAAGCGGACGCAGCAGCAGCAAAAGCAGAGGGCGTCATTCAGCAGCTGTCGAGCGGCCAATTGAAACTGCCGTTTGCGGAGTGTGCGGGTGTCCTACCCTCAGCCGTGGCTTGCCCTGGTGGCTGCACCCAAGAGGTCTTCTGCAGGTGGGTGGTGGGAGAGAGGGCAGCGTTCCATCATACACAGCAGCTGTCGAGCGGCCAGTTGAACCTGCCCTACGCGGAGTGTGCGTGCGGGTGCCCTCCCCTCAGCCGTGGCTTGCCCTGGTGGCTGCACCCAAGAGGTGTTCTGCAGGTGGGTGAGCAGCAGATAGGTGGGTAGTATCGCACGCAGCAGCTGTCAAGCGCCCGGTTGAACCAACCCTGAGGGGAGGCTATCTTTCAGGCGCCTGAAATATAGTTCTTCTGCAGGTGGGTGAGCAGCAGATAGGTGGGTAGTATCGCACACAGCAGCTGTCAAGCGCCCGGTTGATTCTTGAGGCGCCTAAAAAATACACAGCAGCTGTCAAGCAGCCAGTTGAGTTGAGCGTGCCCTATGGGGAGTGTGCAGGTGCTCTACCGTCTGCTGTGGCTTTCCCTGGTGCTGCTGGCTCCACAGAAGCGCCGCTCTGCAGGTGAGCAGAGGAAAGTGGGCGATAGATGTCAAACATCACCTGTTGAGCCGCCAGTTGAAATGAAACTGCCCGCTGAGTGTGTGGGCACTCTCTCTCCCCTCAGCCGTGGCTTGACTTGGAGGCTGCACTCAAGAGGTGCTCTGCAGGTGAGGTGGTGGGGAGGGGAGGGGAAGGTGGATGGATGGGAATTTTTTTCAGGGGAACAAGTGAGAGAGCGGAGTGTGTGCGCTCTGCTCTAACCAAGTAGGGTGTCGTTGAGAGTTCTCAAGAGCACCCTGCATTTTCATTCAAGGGAACAAGTGAGAGAGCAGAGCGGAGTGTGTACCCTCCGCTCTATCCAAGAAGGTTATTCTGTAGACCTTCCCTCTGCTCACAGGCCATAGTCAAGTCCGTTTTTGCCGATCAGATTCCGCTATATCCCCTTGCCTGCCACATGCCCATGCCATCAACCTTTGGCATGGGCCATGGCATAAGGCTACACCATATTTCCATGTCATAACATGATGTCATGCCCGTGCATTCCCACATGTTATCCTTCATGCCATCCTCCATGCCATGCACATGTGAGGCTACCATCCAAGCATGCATATCCTATCCCATCTATCATGCACCCCTCTTGTCAGCTCCACGTGTGCCACGTCAGCATGGGCGGAAGGCCATGCCATGCTGTGCCTGGGGCACGCCTCGCATGCCAAGGACACCCAAGCTCTGAAGGCCTTCTATACCCATGCTGATGGTGAGCCCATGCTGATGGTGAGCCCATGCTGATAGTGAGCCCATGCTGATGGTGAGCCCATGCTGATGGTGAGCCCATGCTGATGGCGAGCCCATGCTGATGGTGTGTGGTAAGGTATAAGGTGGTGCTGATGGTCTGGCAGGAGGTGATTTCTTTTCTAATATGCCTCAAAAGTATGGCAAGAGGTATTTTCCATTCATAAGTGTCCAAAGTGTTATTTCTTTCCCGTGGATATGTCAATCTTCCTTATACCATCCCCTTCGTTTCCTCTCCTCCATTTCCTCCCGTCTCCTTCCCTCCCTCCCCCCCCGCCACAGAATCTAATGACATCTTCCGATTGGCTGCTAAGGTGAATGGTCGCTCCTGTACAATAGAAGCTTGTTGGATCTGTTTTTCACCTTCATTATATACCCCACAGAACTAGTCGTTTGGTCACCGATGTGTGAATCGATGCCAAAATGCGAAATATGTAAGGCTTAAGGGGTTGAGGTTTCAGGTTTAGACTGTGAAGTGTTTGCCATCCATCCCTAACGGCCCAGTTGGGCGTGGCGTGGATGCTGACTGCTGCTGTGCGTTGTGGATGCACGGTGGCACAGCACACTGTAGTGGGATGGACTGTGTGTGGGACGGCATGTGCATGGGACGTGCATGGGATGGCATGTGCATGGGACGGCATGTGCATGGGACGGCATGTGCATGGGACGGCATGTGCATGGGACGGCATGTGCATGGGACGGCATGTGCATGGGATGGCATGTGCATGGGATGGCATGTGCATGGGACGGCATGTGCATGGCATGGCATGTGCATGCCATCGTTTGTATCATCATGGGACACTAAAGCATGGGGTTGTTCTTACTGCATGCCTCTGCTGCTGAGAGACACACCCAGCAGCAGCAGCAGCGGCAGCTCACTTTCGAGCCTTTTGTCTTCTCTGCACTCTCTGCTCCATCCAACTCCACCTGATTTTTGAGGCGCCTAAAAAAAAAAAACATAACTTGTCTGCACTCTCTACTGCTCCACCCGTCCAACTCTTCCTGATTTTGGATCTGTGTCTCTTTGTTCCTCCGGTTGGTTTTGTCTCTTGGCTCCACACCACGCTCTGCTGCATCTGCGTGACACAAGTCGCATTTTGAGGCGCCTCAAAACTAGACTACTATCTCTGCTGCATCGGTGTCCCTCTTTCTACACGGCAGGTGGTGGCATCAGCCCTTTCTCGCGCTCACACGTTACTTGGAAAGGGGGGAGGGGAGGTTGGGGAGGAGGAGACAGAGGGGAAGGGGGAGGCGGAGGAGGAGGAGAGGTGGAAGCTAGTGCTTGAGGCATGGATGCCGTTCGCTGTGGGGCACAAGGCCATGTGAGTGCCGCGGGTCGGAGGGAAGGGGGAAAGGGGGTATGATATGAAGGAGGGATGAATGTATGGGGGCAATGTGTGTAAATGGAGAAGTGGAAGGTGGAAGCTGGAGGCATGGACGCTGTTTGCTGCTGGACACAAGGCCATGTGAGTGCAGGGGGGTGTGGGGAAGGGATTCTCACATGCACGCACAGGCAGCCCCCCCCCCCCCCCCAACCCCCCTCGCCTTTCCCCCACCCACCCACTCGCACACATGCACACACACATACACGTGCACCCCCCACCCACCCCACCCACCCCACTCCACTCACGCGCACACACATGCGAGCGCATGCACTGGCTGCTTTGTGCTGGCACGCATGTGTGCTTTTCTGGGGATGAGTCCACGTGTCCACTATTGATTGGCTGCTGCAGATGGTGGGAAGCAGTGGCGTGTCCGCCTGACGTGGTAGCAGGAAGCGACGAGGAAGCTTCCTTCCGAGCCTGCATGAAATCTATGGCCGAGGAGGTGTGGAGGTGAATGGACGGCTCAGATTGTTTGTAGGTCCATTGATATAAAGATGGTGCTATTCTTGTCCACGTAATTTGTGATTATCTTTGCTGCCGCAAACATCTTTGCATAACCTAGTTCCTTCATCCTCTATTCCTCCCTCCCATCCGCTATTCCTCCCTCCCATCCCCTATTCCTCCCTCCCATCCCCTATTCCTCCCTCCCATCCCCTATTCCTCCCTCCCATCCGCTATTCCTCCGTTCCCTGCTCTCTCAGTCTCTTAATCTGCTCGCTCAAGCCATCGGCCCACTGCCATTGGATCTGCAGCCATGTGAGTGCAACCGTATAACTCCTTCAACCTTTCTACCTTTGTTTTTTATCTCCTCTCCTGTTCCCTGCTGTGCTGTGTGTCCTGTCTGGCGCATGTGAAGCTCCCTTCTGACCTACTGGACTCTTGTCCCTGCTCCCCTCTTCTCCTTCTCCTGCCAGTGCTCTCCCTCTCCGTGTATGGCGCCACCATCGGCATGTTTGAGCTGAATAACCTGTAAGGAGCCATTCCTACATTCACGCATTGAGCAACCTCGATCCGCCTCAATAGAGCTGAAATGCGACACACGGCACGGCTTGGCAATTATTGGCATACTATTTGTAACGAACCACACTTCTTCACAACACCAAACAAGCAGGCGTTTGGTGAATGCTGGTGGTACCTTCCAGAGAACCTGATCCCTTGGAGATCCCACTGCACTGTGGAGGTGTGTTATGCATTTGTTTTTCACGTGTCCCTTTCCATTTCCCCTCCCCAGTAACAACATAGGAGACCCGTTTCCTTCCCCCTGCCTCCTCCTCCCTCCCCCTGCATTCCGTTACCCCCTCTCCCTCGCTACCCCCCTCCCCCCCGCCCCCTTATTGCCAGAGACTTGGTTGTACCGTCCCCAGTTACAACCTACTTCAACAGAATTCTAGACTTAGACGACGCCAAGCAGGTGAGCCTTGTGCTTGACTTCCAGAAGAAGAAGCAAAGGTATGCTGTGAGTGCGTGGTTCAAGGCTAGTCCCGGTCCTGGTAACAACCAGTGTACGTTTGAGACGTCTCAAAATTGCGCTTCTATTGTAAAGGTATGTGATAAGAGCATGTTTCACGACCTATCCCGTTAACAATCGCTTGCTGCTTCCAAATTGAAGGCTTGGTCGATGCCAAGCAGTTGAGCTGGGTGCTCGACTGCCAGAATAAGGAGCCCTAGCGGGAAGATAGCGAAGCGCATATTCGGGCGTTTTTCACGACAAACCCTGGTAGCGATTAGCTCGCTTGCACTTTTTACCAATTTCATAGCGCAACTTACCAACACACATACCTTGCATTCAACTACTCGGGTCAACAACAATACAATACAACAAAACGATCGCGAATGCAGTGAAACAATAGAGATTGACTTGCACGTTTAGGAAGAAGCTCCCAAACCGGCAACGACAATTGCAAATTGTATGATGCACTAGGCTTAGTCGGCATCGTTCTCCTGCACGCATGCACAATACACAACAATGTACAACACGTGCTAACAAACAAATAACGGTACAATAGTGACTGCAAAGAAAGAAATGCATCAATGCTTTCGTGCTACAATAGAGATTGACATGCACGGAGTGAGAAGCAATTCCTCAAACCGGCAACGACAATCGCAAATTGTGTGATGCACTAGGCATAGTCAGCATCCTTCCCCTGCAAGCACAACACAACGCAACACCGTGCAACACAAGCCAACAAACTGATATGCATTGTCAACCAATGGTACCATGCACACGCACATACACAAGCAACACGACATGAAAAATCAGGACACAAAACAACAATGCAAATGCACGCCAGTCAAACACGAATATATAATGGGTAGCACGAAAACATGACCAAAAGTCAACTTCAAATATCTATCAATCAAATGGTGCCAACAGGATTGACCGGATTTGGAGTGAGAAGATTTGGAACGTGATGACTTGAACTTCGACGACTTGGAATGTTCTTGGAATGTAGCGACCATGAACGTGATGACATGACTGGAGAGGATAACAGGGGGAGAAGATAAGAAGGAAGAGCTTGACCCACTAGCAGCAAGAGAGAATCTAGAGCGATTAGGTGGGAAGACAAAGGGGGAGAAAGAAAAGGGGGACGACAAAGGGGGAGGAACGGAGGGGGAAGGCAAAAGAGGAGGAACGGAGGGAGGACGGCAAAACGGGAGGAACGGAGGGGGGACGGCAAAGGGGGAGGGTCGGAGGGGGGACGACGAAGGGGGAGCGGCGGAGGGGGAACGACAAAGGGGGAGGGGCGGAGGGGGGACGACGAAGGGGGAGGGACGGAGGGGGGATGACTAAGGGGGAGGGGCGGATGGGGGACGACAAAAGGGGGAGGGACGGAGGGGGGACGACTAAAGGGGAGGAACGGAGGGAGGACGACAAAGGGGGGGAACGGAGGGGGACGGCAAAGGGGGGGGAACGGAGGGGGGACGGCAAAGGGGGAGGAACGAAGGGGGGACGGCAAAGGGGGAGGGTCGGAGGAGGGACGACAAAGGGGGAGCGGCGGAGGGGGAACGACAAAGGGGAGGGGCGGAGGGGGGACGACGAAGGGGGGGAAGAGAGGGGGGACGGCCAAGGGGGAGGAACGGAGGGGGGACGGCCAAGGGGGAGGAACGGAGGGGGGACGACAAAGGGGGAGGGACGGAGGGGGGACGACAGAGGGGGAGGAACGGAGGGGGACGACAAAGGGGGGGGAACGGAGGAGGGGGGACAAAGGGGGAGGAACGGAGGGGGGACGGCAAAAGGGGAGGAACGGAGGGGGGACGGCAAAGGGGGAGGGACGGAGGGGGGAGGACAAAGGGGGAGGGGCGGAGGGGGACGACAAAGGAGGGGGAACGAAAAAAGGGGGGGAACGGAGGGGGGACGACAAAGGAGGGGGAATGGAGGGGGGACGACAAATGGGGAGGAGCGGAGGGGGGACGGCAAAAGGGGAGGGACGGAGGGAGGACGGCAAAGGGGGAGGAACGGAGGGGGGACGGCAAAAGGGGAGGAACGAGGGGGGATGACAAAGGGGGAGGGACGGAGGGGGGACGACAAAGGGGAGGAACGGAGGGGGGACGACAAAGGGGGAGGAACGGAGGGAGGACGACAAAAGGAGGGGGAACGAAGGGAGGACGACAAAGGGGGAGGAGCGGAGGGGGGACGACAAAGGGGGAGGAACGGAGGGGGGACAGCAAAGGGGGAGGAACGGAGGGGGGACGACAAAGGGGGAGGAACGGAGGGGGGACGACAAAGGGGGAGGAACGGAGGGGGACAGCAAAGGGGGAGGAACGGAGGGGGAACGACAAAGGGGGAGGAACGGAGGGGGGACGGCAAAGGGGGAGGAACGGGGGGACTAGAGCTCACCTGCAGTGTTGTCGCACGTTAGGCGCCAGCGCGTTAGGCGCCAGCGCGAAACGGACCAGCGCGAAACGCGCCAGCGCGAAACGCGTCAGCACGTGACGCGCCAGCACGCAAGGCGCCAGCGTAAAACGCACCAGAACGAAACGCGCCAGCGCGCAAGGCACCAACGCGTAAGGCGCCAGCGTGCAAGGCGCCAGCGCGAAACGGGTTACGGGCTCCGCGCCAGCAACATGCAAGCAGGCGGCAACTGCTATGGCTTAGGTGGCAGTTAGGCATGGTTAGGGAAAAGAGCTAGTTTCGAGCTAGGACTAGGTATGAGCAAGGAACTAAGTGTGAACTAGGACTACGGTAGGTGGGAGCAAGGATTAGGTGTGAGCAAGTACTAGGCGTGAGCAGGGAGGGACTACCTCTACGAGCAAGAACAAGGCACGAACAAGAAGAAGCACCAACAAACCCTAGCAGGGGTGTATTCGCTCTGCCCCAGAAAGCTAACCGAGTACAGGTCAGCACTGTTACTCGCTGTGCCATTCTCCACTTTTAAACAGGTCAGCACAGTTACTACTCCAATACAGCAATACATAACTTGTTTTTATATAAAACTACATTATTGCTATAGTTTGTACCATTACACGTTTAAAATATATTCACTTACAAAATCACCTTTTTCTAGTATATCTCACAAACTTTCTAGTGCACAGTCCCATTGAAAAAAAATGTTGACATACGCAACCCATCCGACGATTTACGTCGAGCCTTGTTTAGAATTCTCAAAGACTGAACACAAAAGGTGCTCTTTGAGATTCTAAAAAAAAAAAAACCCAAAAGTGGGAGGAGTAGGCGAGGGAGGAGGAGAGGGAACGCACTTGGATGTGAGATATCTCTCTGCTTGATCCTTGCCTGTCCGTCCGTGCATGCATGCAGGCAGAGGCAGATGCCGTGGTTGGCCGCCTGAGGGAGCGTCTGGAACAAGGGGGGAAGGGCACATGCGAGGGATGAAGAGGAAAACGAGAGGATGTGGAAATTCTCAAAGTTCTTTCTTTTCTGTCCGTCCGTGCATGCGTGCAGGCAGCGGCCGTTGCTGTGGTCAGCCGCCTTAGGGAGCTTCTGGAACAAGGGGGAAGGGGAAGAAGGAAAGGGAGTAGGAGAAGATGTGAAAGTCTCTATTGTTCGTTCCTTGTCTGTGCATGCAGGCAGAGGCAGAGGGAGTGATTGGCCCACTGAGGGCGCTCCTGGAGCAAGGGGGAGGGGGCAGAGGGCAGGAGGGAGGGGCAGTGCAAGGGGAGAGGGGGTGAAAGATGGTGGGGAGAATGGGGAGGAGGGAGATGAAGAGAAAGATACAGATGGGAACGATGGGGATGTGGGTATAGGAGATGAAGAGGAGAAGGATGATGATGATGATGAGGAGGAGGAGGATTGTGATGAGGATGATGAGGATGACAAGGATGATGATTTGCTGCAGTGGCACTGCCAAGGTACGGAGTGGTTCCGAGGGATGTAAGTGTTTGGCACGCGTGGCATTCCATCCTCTTGCTCTCTCTTTATCACGTGGTTTCCCTTTCTCTCTTTATCCTCTCTTTATCGCACGGCATTCCATCCTCTCCTTCTACTCAGTCATCTCCTCTGTCTGCTTTGCTAGGTGCGGCGTTCTACTTCCTGCAGAGCAGCATCAACCACTGCTGCTGCCCCAGTCCCTCTCATCTCAGTCGTCGACCACAGCTCACTGTTCTTTCCTTATCCACACTTCGCTCCCTATTTGCTCTGCCAGGCACGGCCTTCTACTCCCTGCAGAGCAGCATCAACCACTCCTGCTGCCCCAACGCCCATGCCTTCAAACGAGATGAGGTGAGTGCTAGTGTGTGCCACACACGCACATGCCATGCACGTGCTTGCTATGCATGCATGTGTACTTTGAGTCGACTCAAACCACACCTCGATGCACGCGCTGGCTATGCATGGCATAGGCATGCCAGCGTTAATGCCTTCAAACGAGATGAGGTGAATGATTCCTGCCACCCGCATGCAATGCACGCGTTTCCGAACTTGCATGCCTTCAAATTCAAAAGCGATGAGGCGACGCTGTGCGACGACCATGGCGCGCATGGCACTCCTCGTGTCATCAGTAGGAGAGCAGCATCAACATCAACGTCAACATCAACATCAACGTCAACGTCAACGTCAACGTCAACGTCAACGTCAACCACACGGCGCAAGGCACATGATCTGTCAACGGAAATACGTAACCACATACGCATTCCCTGCATATGCCATCATGTATCAACGTGCCATGGTCTCAGCCTCGCCCCCGCCCTCATAGCCACCTTCAGCATCCGCACCAACATCTTGGCCTTTCATCCACGATCGTGCACTTGGGTTTTTTCTTGTTGTCGTTCACCACTCCCTTCTCCCCCCTCCCTTCCCCCACTCTCACGTCACCAACCTCCCCGTTGTCCCTCTCCCCAGTAAGAAAACATCTTCCCTGCTCTGCCCCCCCGGTCTGCTGCCCGCCACGTGGCAGGACGTGGATGGTCGGGCAGTGCTGCTGGCAAGCCGAGACATTAAGAAAGGAGAGCAGGTTGGTTCCACTCCCCTCACAATCGGACCATTGCCAGGCAACCCGTTAGGGAGTGCTTCGGTCCGGTGTTACGGTTGGCAGGCTCAGCTGGCAGGAGGGCCCAATCATTCGGTCCCCATCTGTCTTTGTAGCTGCCTGCCTTTTTTCAACCCTCTGCTCAGCTCTCCTTTTCCTCAGGGGGTTGAAAAGATGTGTTCAGCTCTCTCAGGAGGCAGAGCGTCATTCTGCTCAGCTCTCTGTGCTCCTCAGCATGCATACGTTTTTTCTCTCCCCAGTGTGAACCCCTCGGATCTTCATTCATAGCCTACGTGGACAAATCCCTTCCCTTACAGGAGCGCATGGAAGCGTTAGCAGACTACAGGGTGACTGTGCAGTCGACTCACAAGTCAATGTCATGAATCATACCCTTGTCATGTCTCTTCCCCATAATGACCCCCTCAGATCTTCATAGCCTACGTGGAGGAATCCCTTCCGTTACAGGAGCGCAGGGAAGCATTAGCCGACTACGGCTTTGTGTGCCGATGTGAGCTGTGTGAGGCACAGGGAAGGCACTAATAAGACGATACAGTGCGAGGCACAGGGAAAGCACTAATAACTAAGACGATACAGAGATAGCAGCGGCATGGAAGGTGCTGCAGAGAAAAGTGTTCCTCGGTACAACATTGAAAAACGAAGGCATTAGCTGACTACACCTTAGTGTGCCAATGTGAAGGTTGTGAGGCACAGGAAACGGGCAGGAGATGAAAGAGCACTGCGAGACGCAGAAAAGGTTGAGATGGACAGAGGGAGACGCGGAGAAGCTGAGAAATATTTTCCCTTGCAGTTGCGATGACAGCCATCTGCAGACCATGGCTTATGCTGCTGTTCTGGAATTTTGTGTGCTACATGATCATCACAGGCTAGCTAGGTGCAGACTGTAGTGGGGACAACCCTTGAATCCTGTTCTGTTCCCGTTCTACCCACTCAGTTCTTTCATTCTGACAGGTCATAAAAAAAAACCGATTGTTGTCTGGATTGTCAAACATAAGTATAACTCATGTTTGTATAGATTGTATAGGGTTGCCTCTTAGAGGGTACAACACTCTTAGGTATATACCCTTGTACTCTCTCTCTATTCAATAATTCTTCAGTTCTAAGATGGTATCAGCAGTAGGTAGGTCCCACCTGTTAACGTAGAAACGAATGAATTACTAGGAAGAGAAACATAGAACAAATACCAGTTGGTTGTACTCACTAGAAGCACACACCTAGTCCAGCCTATAACTTCTACATAGATAATATGTATAAGTTGACACACCCCCTAGGCTAGACAAGGGGTGGAGTTAAGCAAGAAGCACACAGCCCAGGGTGGCACTACTAGTCCAACCTGGCCTGGCCCCTCCCAGCACCAGCCCGGCCCCAGAGCACCTGCCCGCCTCCCCTGCTTGGCCTGCCGTGTCCTCTCGGGCCCTGTGTCTTCTGCTCGCCTGCGCTGGGACGCCTAGCTGCTGCCCTACTGGAGAGTGCTGCCGCCGTGTCCCCGCGCCGCTGTGCTCCTGTGCCGCTGAGGAGCTGTGCTGCTGTGCCGCTGTGTCGCTGAGGAGTTGTGCCGCTGACCCTGCACGATGGCTGACTTTGTGCTCCGCCTGGACGCTGAGGGCCACGCGGTTGACTTCGCCGCCTGGCTCTCCGATCTCCGCCGCCAGCTTACAGGTCAGCGCCAGGATGGCCACTCTCCGGTTGTCCATGCTGATGGCTTGCTCCCCCGTCCCCCTGCACCTACTCCCCTCCCTGCTGACCCCTCCTCTGATGACCGTGAGGCTTTCTCTACTGCTGCGCTGGCCTGTGCGGTCTGGGACTCACGCGATGCAGTAGCTCAGGTTGCTATTAGTCACGCCCTCCCTGTGTCTGAGCGCTCGCGTTTTGCTACTGTTGAAACGGCCAAAGCTTATTTAGACGCAGTTATTGCTCGCTATTCCACCCCTGCCTCCGCTTCTGCTGGCCGCTTGCTCTTTCCGATGCTGTTCCCAGACCTGGCTGCCTTCCCTACTGTCGCAGACTTTGCCACTCATTTGCGTGCCCTAGAGACTCGCTATCGCACTGCCAGCACTGCTGCCCAGCTCACTGCGCTCCCCCCTCCTTTCTGCATGACGCTCTATTTTATCGCTATGCGCCTGCCAGACCGCCTCGCTAGTGCTCGCGACCACTTTCTTAGCCAGCACCCGGGTGACCTCACCCTGACCGCCTTTGTCGACACCCTCACTGAGATCGAGACTCGCCAGCGCACTATCGCTCAGTCGAGCGGTGCGCCGGCAGTCTCTATCTTTCACGGCTGTGCCCCATCCCAGTGCACGTTCACTGACGTTTCGGCTGCGGTCGCCACGGCGACCCCTCTTACAGAGACGGCTGCTGCTGTCCACCCGCAGCAGCGCTCGCGTCGCGGTGGCCGTGGCCGCCAGGGAGGTAGGGGTGGTGACGCAGGTGGTGGTGGTCGTGGTGGTGGTGACGGTAGTCCGCCTGAGGGGACTACCACCGGTGGGCAGGAGCAGCAGCCCCAGCAGCAGCAGGACTAGCCCCAGCCGCAGCCGCCGTCCCAGCAGCACCCGCCGCAGCCGTGGGCTCGTCTCCCGCCTGGTTGGCCCGGCACCTCCGGAGGCGGTGGCCGTGGTGGCGGCCCGCGCAGCTTGGCGTCTACCAGCGGCTCCAGTGCTGTGACCTGCCAGTACCAGCTTCAGACCGGGCCTCTCCGCGACACTCTGTGCCGCCGCCCGCACCCGACCGCCCGCTGTTTCCGCCGCCTCGACGATCTTTTTCGTCGTCGCTTTGGCCCGGCCCTGGACCTCCCTGACTGGCACAGCCTGCTCCGCCAGGGCGTGCCGATCTTTGAGTTAGACATGGATCAGATAGGTGCTGCTTTGCATGCTTTGTATGCTGACACTTCTAGTGTTGCTGGATCTTACTACCTGTGTACTCTAGTTTAGGTGTTTCACCCTTGTGTAGCTTAGCTTCCCCTGCTGCGTCAGGCGTAGGACTGCCTAGGTTGCCTAGCCTAGCTTCTGCACCGGCCCCGTCCCCGGCCTCTGCCACTGCCTCGCTGTCCTTCACGCTCGACTCCGGTGCTTCTGCCTGTTTCTTCCGTGACCGGTCCACGCTCACGCCGCTTGCTGCACCTGCGGTTGTCTCCCTTGCTGACCCCTCTGCCGGTCCTGTCGTCGCTCGCAGTTCCTCTTCCCTTCCCTGTCCAGCCGTTCCCTCGGGCTCTCTTACAGGCTTCCACGTTCCCTCGTTCTCCAGGAACCTGGTTGGTGTCGGCCGTCTTCAGGACCTCGGCGTCACCACCACGTTCCCTGGGCACGAGCGGTTCGCTGTCTGTACCGAGGCAGTCTCAGGTTCCCCTCTTGCGACGTTCCCCCGGGACCCGGTATTTGGTCTGTTTACCCTCGACACCGCTTCCCCCCCGGTTGGTGCGTCCTCCCAGGTCGCTGCAGCTTGCTCGTGTCGGTCCCTCACTCACCCGTCCCTTCTCTGGCACCACCGCTTAGGTCACCCTGCTCTGATACCATGTTAACGTAGAAACGAATGAATTACTAGGAAGAGAAACATAGAACAAATACCAGTTGGTTGTACTCACTAGAAGCACACACCTAGTCCAGCCTATAACTTCTACATAGATAATATGTATAAGTTGACACCACCGCCCCCCCCACGCTTCCGCCCTAGGATCTACCCCCGTGCGTCGCGCCCCCTAGGCCCCGTCGCGTCACCTAGGACCAGTCGCGCCCCCCCCCTTTGGGCCCGTCGCGCCCCCCTGGGCCCCGTCGCGTCACCTAGGACCAATCGCGCCCCCCCTGGGCCCCGTCACGCCCCCCCTGGGCCCCGTCACGCCTCCCTGGGCCCCGTCGCGCCCCCTGGGCCCCGTCACGCTTCCCTGGGCCCCGTCGCGCCCCCTGGGCCCGGTCACGCTCCCCTGGGCCCCGTCGCCCCCCCTGGGCCCCGTCACGCTCCCCTGGGCCCCGTCACGCTCCCCTGGGCCCGTCGCGCCCCCTAGCACCCGTCACGCCCCTCCTGGGCCCCCCGTTGGTGCCTCCTGGCCCTGTCGCGCGACTCCTAGCCCGTCGCGCCTTACCTAGCCCGTCGCGCCTTTCCTAGCCCGTCGCGCTTCCTAGTCCGTCGCTCCCAGCCGGCCCCGCGACCGTCCCAGCCGGCCCCGCGACCGTCCCAGCCGGCCCCGCGACCATCCCAGCCGGCCCCGCGACCGTCCCAGCCAGCCCCGCGACCGTCCCAGCCGGCCCCGCGACCGTCCCAGCCGGCCCCGCGACCGTCCCAGCCGGCCCCGCGACCGTCCCAGCCGGCGCCGCGACCGTCCCAGCCGGCCCCGCGCCCGTCCCAGCCGTCCCCGCGACCGTCCCTGCCGGCCCCGCGACCGTCCCAGCCGGCGCCGCGACCGTCCCAGCCGGCCCGCGATCGTCCCAGCCGGCCCCGCGCCCGTCCCAGCCGGCCCCTCGTGCCCGTCCAGGCCGCCCCTGCACCTGTCCCAGCCGGCCCCGCGCCCGTTCCAGCCGGCCCCGCGCCCGTCCCAGCCGGCCCCGCGACCGTCCCAGCAGACCCCGCGACCGTCCCAGCCGGCCCCGCGATCGTCCCAGCCGGCCCCGCGACCGTCCCAGCCGGCCCCTCGTGCCAGTTCAGGCCGCCCCTGCACCCGTCCCAGCCGGCCCCGCGCCTATCCCAGCAGGCCCCGCGCCCGTCCCAGCCGGCCCCGCGCCTGTCCCAGCCGGCCCCGCGCCCGTTCCAGCCGGCCCCGCGCCCGTCCCTGCCGGCTCCCGCGCTTGTCCCGGCCGGCCCCGCGTCGACTTCCGGCCCTTCCTCGCCGGCCCTACGACCGTCCTATTTGCACTCTCCCTGGTACGGTTCTCCACCACCTTTCACCGCACTGTACCGCACTGCACCGCACAGCACCGCCCTGCACTGCCCTGCATCGCACTGCCTCGCCTTGCACCGCCCTGCACCGCACTGCACTGCCCTGCTCTGCACTGCACCGCATTGTACAGTCCTGCACTGCCCCTGATGGCGGCGGAGCTTCGCTTCGACGCTGAAGGCCAGCCTCTGGAGTTCGAGGCGTGGCTTGCCGACCTCCGGCGTCAACTCACTGGCCAGCGGCAGGATGGTGAACCGCTTTCCGCACACCTTGACGGTACGCTCCCCTGCCCAGACCCCCCTGCTGTTCTGCCCGCTGACTCTGCACCCACTGAGCGCGAGTCTACTGCTGCCACTGCCCGTGCGCGCTCTGTCTGGCTTTCTCGAGATGCTGTCGCTCAGCTTGCCATTAGCAATGCCCTTCCCCCGTCCGAGCGCCCCCGCTTTAAGTCCCTCACTACTGCCCAGGCTTACTTAGATGCTGTCATCAAGCGCTATTCCACCCCTCCAGCTGCCTCGGTGGGTCGCCTGATCCTCCCGATGCTCTTTCCTGACCTTGCGTCTTTCCCCTCTGTCTCTGACCTTGCTGCCCACCTGCGCTCGATAGATGAGACCTGGCGCGCTGCCTGCACTGACGCACAGCTTAGAGCCCACCAGCCGCCCATTACCTCTACCCTTTACCTGCTTGCCACCCGCCTCCCTGACCGCCTTGCTGTCGCCCGCGACCGCTTCCTTAGCATTCACCCCGCAGACCTCACCCTCACTGACTTTGTAGACACCCTGACTGTGATTGAGACCCGCCACCGCTCCATCGCCCAGGCGAGCGGTACCGTGCCGGTCCCTATCTTTCAGGGTTGTGCCCCCGCTCAGTGTACTTTCTCCGACGGCTCTGCCGCTGTGGCTGAGACTGTTGCTACAGCGCAGTTTCGTTCGGGGAAGGGCCGCCGCCCCAAGGTTGGGCGCGGCGGAGGAGGCGGGGGTGCGGGAGGGGGTGGTGGTGGAGTCGGGTCGTCTGGTGCTGGAGCGGACAAGGGGACCCTGCCCAGTCCAGCTGAGCCACCGCCCCTGCAGTCGCAGCAGCAGCAGCAGCAGCAGCAGCCGCAGCAGCCGCCGCAGACGAGGCAGACGAGTGTCCTCCCGCCCGGGTGGCCCGGCGCTGGCGGTGGTCGGGCGCGTGGTGGTGTGCCGAGTGGTGGTTCTGGAGGCGTGCGTTGTCAGTACCAGATCCAGACCGGTCCTCGCCGCGGCTTCGTTTGCAGTAAGATCGGTCACTCCACTCCCCGCTGTTTTCGTCGCCTGGACGACCTGTTTCGTCAGCGCTTCGGCCCGTCGCCAGACCTCCCGTACTGGCACAGTTTGCTTAGTCGTAAGATTCAGATTTTTGACATGGCCGTGGATGCCATTGTTTCTGTTCTGCATGTGATGTATGCTGATGACTCTAGTGTGCTTCCCGCTTATTACCCACTGTCGGCTAGTGTAGGTGTGCCTAGCTTAGCCTCCCTTGCTGCGTCAGGCGTAGGATCCCCTGCTTTGTGTAGTCTTGGTGCTTCCGCCGTCGTTCCGTCGCCAGACGCCTCTGCTTCGCTTTCCTTCACCTTGGACTCTGGCGCTTCCCGGTGTTTCTTCCGCGACTTCACCACACTGATGCCGCTTCCTGTTCCTGCTGCCGTTTCTCTTGCTGACCCCTCCGGCGGTCCGGTAGTCGCCTGCAGTTCCACCACCCTTCCCTGTCCGGCGGTTCCTTCGGGCACTCTCACAGGTCTGCATATCCCCTCGTTCTCCAGGAACCTAGTTGGTGTCGGCTGCCTCCAGGACCTTGGCGTCACCACTACGTTCCCTGGTCACGAGCGGTATGCTGTCTGTACCGAGGCCGCCACTGGTGCCCCCCTGTCCACGTTCACCCGGGACCCGGTGTCCGGCCTGTTCACTCTGGACACTGTGACCCCCCTGGCTGGGGCGCTCCCTCAGGTGGCTGCGTCTACCCAGGTTGCTGCTGCCTGCTCCTGTCGGTCCCTCACTCACCCGACTCTCCTTTGGCACCACCGCCTAGGTCACCCTGCGCTCCCGCGTCTGCGTCACATGTCCCAGCACGGTCTTGTCCTTGGTCTCCCAGGTTCTCTCCCCGCGTTTCCCTCCTCCCCAGCCCCACCTTGCACGCCTTGTGTCGAGGGTCGGCTTCGCCGTGCCCCTCACTCCTCCTCGTTTCCCCCTACCGCCGCGCCGTTGCAGACCCTGCACCTGGACGTCTGGGGCCCCGCCCCCGTCCCTGGGCCGCGTCGCGAGCGCTACTTCCTTGTGCTTGTCGACGACTTTACTCGTTACACCACAGTCTTTCCCCTGGAGCGCAAGGCCGACGTGCCTGGCGCTCTCATCCCGTGGCTTGTCTCTGCGCGTGTCCACCGCGGTCTCCCTGTCTTGCGTCTTCACTCCCACCGTGGTGGCGAGTTTGCCTCAGGTGTCCTTGGTCGCTTTTGTCGTGCGGAGGGCATCTCCCAGATGTTCACCCTACCAGACTCCCCACAGCAGAATGGGGTCGCTGAGCGACGCATCGGTTTGGTCATGGAGGTGGCTCGCACCTCCATGATCCATGCCGGTGCACCCCATTTTCTGTGGCCGTTCGCTGTGCGCTACGCTTCTCACCAGCTTAACCTGTGGCCGCACCCTCGGCAGCCGCAGGTTTCGCCGACCCGTCTTTGGACTGGGTCTCCTGGTGATGCGTCTGCGTTCCACGTCTGGGGCTGCCTTGCTCACGTCCGTGCCTCCGGCACGGACAAGCTCACTGCCCGCACCCTTCCCTGCGTCTTCCTCGGCTTTCCCCTTGACGCGTCTGACTGGCACTTTTACCACCCGCCGTCTCACCGCTTCTTTCACTCTCGCGACGTCACCTTTGACGAGTCCGTCTCCTACTACCGTCGCTTCCCCCACCGCGGTCCCCAGGTTACCCCCCCCTGTTCCTGGTCACTCCTCCCCCGGTAGTCCCTGCCCCTCCCCCTCCTCCTCCCCGTCCTGCCCCCTCTGGTGTGTCCCACGTCACCCCCCTTCCGTCGGTGGACCCGGTTGAGGAGTCTTCTGACTCTGGTGGCCCTGCTGCGCAGTCCTCGCTGGCCACCCCTCCCCCGGCGTCCCCTCCCCATTCCCCTCCTCCACCACCTCTGCCGCCGCTGCAGCCGTCGTTGTCGCCGCCGCCGCCGCCGCCGCCGTCGCAGCACCCGTTCGTTGACTCTGGTGGTGCTAGTCCCGGTAGCTCTGGGGGTGGATCCTTTGGGGGTGCTGGTGTGGAGTGTGCCGGTGGTAGCCGCGGAGCCGCTTGCAGTCCCGGTGTCGTCGTTGTGCCGCCGCAGCAGCAGTCCCCGCCGGTGTCAGCCCTTCGCCTGCTCAGCCTTCCGTCCCCTGACCCTGCGGCTGTTCCTCTCCGACCGTCTCCTCCTCTTCCCGTCTACGGCCCTGTGTTCCCTCCGCCGGACTCGTCCCCGGCCCGTCTTCCTCCTCGTTCCCCTCCTGTGTCCCCTCCCCTGTCTCCTGACCCGACTCCTCCGTCGCACGTCTGGTCTCACCGTCCCTCCCGTGCTCGTCCTGCCTCGCCTGTCTTGCGCTCCCACCCTATGTTGCTTCGTTCTCACGCGTCTCGTCCTCCCCTTCTCCCGTCGCCTCCTCCGTCCTCCCTTGTTGTTGCACCCCCCCCGCTGTCTGACTACCTCCGTGCCGCTCGTCCTCTTGTTCCTCGGGTCCTTGCCTCTCTCGTTACCGACCCGTCTGTTCCGGTCTCGTGCCTTGACGCTCTTGTTGCTGCGGTCGCTGACTTCGCCTCTACCCGCCGCCTTGACTACGCCACCGCTCTGGTCTCTGACCCTGCCTGTCCTCCGTCTGTCGGGGGTGCTCCTGCCCTTGGCAGTGACGTCCTGGAGGACCGCCAGTTCGAGCTTGCTTTCCTGTCCGAGGCTGCTCCCCATCTCTGTTCCATGCTGCTAGTCCCTGAGGGTGACCCAGACGCTTTCGACATCCCGACCCCTCGCACTTACGCTGAGGCGACCTCGTGACCTTGGGCCTCTCAGTGGATAGCTGCCATGGAGCAGGAGATGGCATCTTGGAGATCCACCGGCACCTTCGTCGACGCAGTTCCCCCGCCTGGGGTGAACGTAGTCGATGGCCGCTGGCTCTTCAAGGTGAAGCGCCCTCCTGGAGAGCCGCCTGTGTTCAAGGCGCGCTACGTGGCTAGAGGCTTCATTCAGCGTGAGGGGGTGGACTTCTTCTAAACCTTCGCTCCGACCCCGAAGATGACTACTCTTCGGGTTCTGTTACACCTAGCTGCTCAGCGTGACTACGAGCTTCACTCCCTCAACTTCTCCACTGCCTTCCTTCAGGGCAGCCTACACGAGCAGGTCTACTTGCGTCGCCCTCAGGGCTTTACTGACACCTTCCCTCCTGGGACCCAGTGGCTCCTGCGGCGCCCTGTCTACGGCCTGCGCCAGGCTCCCCGTGAGTGGCACGACACTCTCCGTGCTACGCTTGCTGACCTGCAGTTCTTTCCGGCTTCCGCAGACCCCTCACTCTTCGTTCGTGTTGGCCAGACTCCATTCTACATCCTTGTTTACGTCGACGACCTGGTCTTTGTCACTGCAGACAGGGACGCACTAGCCTTCGTGAAGGCAGAGCTGCTGAAGAGACACACGTGCACTGACCTTGGAGAACTGCGCCGTTACCTTGGCTTGTAGATCTCCAGGGACAGAGCAGCGCGCACCATCACCCTGACTCAGTCACACTTGGTGCGCCAGGTCCTTCAGAGGTTCAGCCTTCAGTTCTCCTCTGCACAGCCCACCCCTCTGCCTGTAGCCCACAGACTCTCCGCTCCAGTGTCTGAGGAGTCGGTTGAGCCCAGCGGCCCCTACGCAGAGCTGGTGGGTTGCCTCATGTACCTGATGACTTGCACTCGCCCAGATCTCGCGTACCCTCTCAGCATCCTGGCTCGCTTTGTGGCCACAGGCAGACACCGACCGCAGCACTGGTCTGCCGCTAAGAGGGTTTTGCGTTATCTTGCTAGTACATCGGGCATGGGGTTAGTGCTAGGAGGACGCAGGCCAGTGGTCCTTACTGGACACACAGACGCTTCGTGGGCAGACGATGCCGAGACACTCAGGTCTACCCAGGGCTACTGCTTCAGCATTGGCTCAGGTGCCGTCTCGTGGAGAGCTACCCGCTCCTCGTCTGTTGCCCAGTCCAGCTGTGAGGCTGAGATCTACGCTGGTGCCATGGCGGCACAGGAGCTCCGCTGGCTGACCTTCTTGCTCACTGACTTAGGTGAGCAGCCTAGCTCTGCCCCGGTCCTGTTCGCTGACAACAGGGCCATGATCCTCCTGTGTCAGGAGCCTCGACTCGAGGGCAGAGCGAAGCATATTCAGCTGCGATACTTCCTCCTGCGCGAGCTACAGCAACGACGCCAGGCTCGCGTAGTACACTTGGCCTCAGGTGCCAACACAGCTGATATCTTTACGAAGGCGCTTGCGCCTAAAGATCATCAGCGGCACTGCGTACAGCTTGGTCTAGTTCCTGTAGCCTCTCACTTGCTAGGGCCTTGACTTTGTACTGTCCTTTATATGCATACTCAGACTGGACTTGTGTCCTCTCCCAGTGGCTGGACTAGTAGTGCCGCCCTGGTCTTGTTCTTGCCTTGTCTCAACTCCGTCTGACTGGTCTTTTAGACCCTTATCTCAGAGGTTGGACTAGTAGTGCCGCCCTGAGCTGCTTGTTCCGGGAACTGCCCCTATGCAGTCTAGGGGGTGTGTCAAACATAAGTATAACTCATGTTTGTATAGACTGTATAGGGTTGCCTCTTAGAGGGTACAACACTCTTAGGTATATACCCTTGTACTCTCTCTCTCTATTCAATAATTCTTCAGTTCTAAGATGGATCGCTTTCAATCCTAAAACATCCTCTCGGACCTTTGTAACGAAAACAAGGACAAACTTGCAAGAAACATGTCTACAAAACAGAGTTTGTGCAACTTAAATCCAGAAAAGCGGCGGCATCAGCAGTCTTAGCATAGCAATGTAGTCTTCCAGCGTCTACAACACCCTCCCTCACCACTCCTCCACAGCCACAAACCCAGCAAAGAGGCGGCCATTGGTGCACCTGAGCGCGTCAATGAGGCGGCTCCAATCCGAGTTGAGCGTACCCACAAAATAGTCACTCTCCGCTGCCACGAGCAGGTTCGCCAGACTCGCCCCCACGCTCACATCCAGCCCCACCTGCCTCTCATACTCCACCACTGGCTGCGGGCCTGCCTGCCGCGGGTGGTCTGAGTGCAGGAAGGTCCAATCAGAGAACTGCTTTGAGTGCTCTATGTCCACCTGAGGGGCGCACGGGCAGGTGTGGGGGGGCAGGATAGGGCGAGTGCGGTTATGGGGCAGGGCGAGTGCAGCGATGGGGCAGGGCGAGTGCAGCGATGGGGCAGGGCGAGTGCAGTGATGGGGCAGGGCGAGTGCAGCGATTATGGGGCAGGCGAACGCGGGAAAAGAGGCGTTGCGGGTAGTGCGGTGGGTGGGTTCACATGCAATGGTTGGGACATGGTATGTGAGATGCAGTGTGTTACTGACATGGCATCGACGAGGGGTGACAGAGTGGCTGGTTGAGGTCCGGTGGGATCGAGAGAGGGTATGAAGGAAAAAGGTGCCCGGGCCATCCCATCCCAGAAATCCCAGGCCTTCCCGACTGATCCCATCCCAACCTGCCCCCCTCCACGCCACCTCACCAGCATCATCTGAGCCCCTGCCGCCTGCCCACCCGAGCCTCACCTGCAGGCGTGAGGTGAGCCACACGTGGTTGAGAGACGGCACGTGCTTGCGCATGCCGTACAGCGAGAACATGAACCCCGCCAGCGACCGCACCCTCGCCTTGCTGCCCGCCTCCTCCACCTGCCGCACATGCAGCGCCACCACGGGCCGCATCATAAACACCTCCCGCCCCACCGCCTCATACACCCTGTCCACCCGCGCCGGCCCCGGCCCCTTGTACTGGTAGCACCCCTCGAAGCCCTCGCCCGGCCACACGTCCGCCTCGAGGCTCTGCGAGTGCGAGAAGTTGAAGGAGCGCAGGAAGTTGGCCTCTTCGGACGCGTTCATGCGCATGGAGGCGTACGCCGGGTGCACGTCATTGCTGGCGAGTGCGGCGATGATGGCTGCGCGCTGCGTGGTCACGGACGCCACCTCGGACGCCACGGAGAGCCCGTACGACGCGTGGCGCATGCGGTTGATGACCTGGCACAGGTGCGCGGATGGCCAGCGCAGGAGGAAGCGCAGGGCCTGGGCCTGCCACCAGCGCAGCTGGTTGCAGGGGGAGGGGGAGAGGAGAAGGGCGGGGTGTGGATGTTGATGGGCGGTAGAGAAGGTAAGGATGTGAGGGAGTGGGAAAGGAGAGGAACTAAGGAGGAGGTCGAGCCTAGAGGGACAGGGGACAGGGGACAGGGGACAGGGGACAGGGGACAGGGGACTTTAAACTGCACTATGAACGGGAGTGGGGCAACCTAAAATAAACATGGGACATGGGATTGGCAGAGAGCGAGAGGCGGAGAGAGAGAGGCGGAGAGCGCGCGGGGGACAGACGGACAGACCTTGAGCTCCCCCTCGTTGAGGGGATGCATCTTCCCCCCCAACTCCACCAAACTCGGCCGGTTGCGATGGGGCGACCCCCACAGACTGTGCAGAGTGGGTGATGGGTGCGAGGGTTGGGAGAGAGGGGAGATGGGAGAGAGGGGGGAGATGGGAGAGGGGGGAGATGGGAGTGAGGAGAGATGTGAGAGAGGGGGGCGATGGAACAGAGAGGGGAGATGGGAGAGAGGGGAGATGGGAGACAGGGGAGATGTGTGAGGGCACACAGCACGCGGTGCCATGAGGCGCACAGCACGTGGTGCCATGAGGCGCACAGCACGTGGTGCCATGAGGCACACAGCACCACTGCAAATGTTTCGCAACCACTCCCAGCACAACTGCTCAACCGCTCACACCATGCTACGGCATAGCACCATGATACCCCTCAACACCATGCTACAGAATAGCACCATGATACCCCTCAACACCATGCTACAGCATAGCACCATGATACCCCTCAACACCATGCTACAGCATAGCACCATGATACCCCTCAACACCATGCTACAGCATAGCACCACGATACCCCTCAACACCATGCTACACCATAGCACCATGATACCGCTCAACACCATGCTACAGCATAGCACCATGATACCCCTCAACACAATGCCCGATGTCTGAGAGCTCGACATGTCCGCTGCCCCACCTGACAGCGTCGCAGTCATCGCGTTCAGCGGTGTCGTTGAGCAGCACCACGGCCTTGTCCGACGCCAGCACTGCGCCCTTGCTGCCCCCCTCCGCCACCACCACCTCATCCACCTCCACCCCTGCTACACCCTCACTCGCACCTCCATTCACACCGCCACCGGGTGCCGGTGCTGGGGCTGGTGCTGCGGCTGCCGCAGCTGTTCCTGCTGCTGCTGCTGTTCCGGGTGCTGCTGCCGCGGCTGCCAGTGCGGCGACGGCCCAGTCAGTGCAGGCCTGGGCGGCCGTGGGCAGGAAGTAGCAGTCAAACGACCCCTCCTGACCCACGGCTGTGCGGCCGCGCATGGGAGGGGAGAGGGGCCGCGCAGAGAGAAGGAAGTCCGAATGGACAGCGGGGAAGAGCGGGGAGAAGCGCAAGCTGAGAAGGAAGTGTGGGTTTCAGCAGGGAGGCCGTTGGCTTGTTTGGGGTGTGCACCAGTACCAGCCAGCAGCACAGAAGAAGCAGCACAGCAGCACAGGAGCAGCAGCAGCACAGCAGCAGCATAGCAGCAGCAGCAGCAGCACAGAAGCACAGCAGCACAGGAGCAGCAGCAGCACAGCAGCAGCATAGCAGCAGCAGCAGCAGCAGCACAGCAGCACAGCAGCACAGCAGCAGCAGCAGCACAGCAGCATAGCAGCACAGCAGCAGCACAGCAGCAGCACAGCAGCACAGCAGCAGCACAGCAGCACAGCAGCAGCAGCAGCACAGCAGCATAGCAGCACAGCAGCAGCACAGCAGCACAGCAGCACAGCAGCAGCACAGCAGCAGCACAGCAGCACAGCAGCAGCACAGCAGCAGCACAGCAGCACAGCAGCACAGCAGCACAGCAGCAGCACAGCAGCACAGCAGCAGCACAGCAGCACAGCAGCACAACAGCACAGCAGCACAGCAGCACAGCAGCACAGCAGCACAGCAGCACAGCAGCAGCACAGCAGCACAGCAGCACAGCAGCACAGCAGCACAGCAGCACAGCAGCACAGCAGCACAGCAGCACAGCAGCACAGCAGCACAGCAGCACAGCAGCACAGCAGCACAGCAGCACAGCAGCACAGCAGCACAGCAGCACAGCAGCACAGCAGCAGCAGCAGCACAGCAGCACAGCAGCACAGCAGCCAGCAGCACAGCAGCACAGCAGCAGCAGCAGCACAGCAGCACAGCAGCAGCACAGCAGCACAGCAGCACAGCAGCACAGCAGCAGCACAGCAGCACAGCAGCACAGCAGCAGCACAGCAGCACAGCAGCACAGCAGCACAGCAGCAGCACAGCAGCACAGCAGCACAGCAGCACAGCAGCACAGCAGCACAGCAGCACAGCAGCACAGCAGCACAGCAGCAGCACAGCAGCACAGCAGCACAGCAGCACAGCAGCGGTCCCTAATGGAACCGACGGCACTGCATGCATGCCCTCCCCGTCAACTCAAAGACCGCCCCACCACAGCGGGAAACCAAGCCACGTCAACACACCCCACTGCAGCACAAGAACCCCCCTGTCCCTTCACATACACCCACGCCCCCTTCCCTTCCAGCGCACCTTTACAGCCGGCGTGGCTGGCGCGGGAGAAGGAGCCGGGCAGCATAACGAGCGTGCGGTTGTGGCGCATGGCGGCACTCAGCAGCGACGCCGCCGCCAGCAGCTGCGCGCCCAAAGAGTGGCTGGCGGCGTCCGGCCACGGCGCCACCAGCAGGCGCCGCCCCGTGCAGTTGGCGGGGGGGAACTGGCTCGCCCAGATGTCCCGCTGTGCCACACGTGTCAGCGCCAGATTGGCCGCGTCTGTGCCGCGCACCTGAGGCAGGGGGGGCAGTGGGTGGGGTGGGTGGGAGGGTTGAGAGGGTGTGGAAGATTGGGATAACAGGATCGAGCTAAAGCTGATACTGCACGCCCTCATGCCTCGTGCCTCATGCCTCGTGCCCTCATGCCCTCATGCCTCACAGCGACAGCATACGCGCTCACAAGCTTCCCATCCGCTCCTGCCCTCGCTCCCCAGATCCCACTCACCAACCCCTCCCCTCTCCACTAAGGGGCGGTGGGGAGGAGGGGGCGTAGTTGGGATTGGGAGCTGGTGGGGGGCGTGGGTGTGCAGAGCAGGGAAGGGATGGTAGCGTGCGGTGCGCAAGGTAGTGGCAAGGCAAGGCTTGGCAGGGGGGCAACGCAAGGCTTCACAGGGGGGGGGTTAAGATGTGGAGAGATGGCAAGGCAACGACTGCACGGTCACACGCACGGACTGCACAAGGGCGGCGAAACCAAGCACGCAGACCAAAGTGACTTTCGAGTCGACTCGAAAGCCACCTCGTTACAATGTCACACAACACCAACGACTACGTGGTCACCCGCACGGACGGCACACGGGCGTCGGAACCAAGCACGCAGAGCCATGTGCGTGCGTGCGCCTGTGCATCCATGTCCCGCCATCAACCACGCCGTGCGCTCCGCTCACGCATGTGTGAGAGTCTGGATGAACCTGTGCCATGAGTCATGGCCTCGTGGCCTCGCGCCACACCCCTAGCAAAAACACCACCCCCGCTCACAGAACTCCCTTTACCCCAATCTTCCTTCCTCGCCTCAACCACATGCGCCTTCCCCCCCCCCCTTTTCCCCCTACACCTTTCCCCCAACGCCCCCCCCCCCCACCCCCCACAACCACCCCCCACCCACCCAGGGGGGTTGGGGCGCGCAGCCGCAGCAGGCGGAGGGGTTGGTCCAGTCAGGCGGGGCGGAGTCCGCCCCGCGCTGCTCCACGCGCCAGCGCCACTGCGTGCGGTTGGCGCAGTCGTCCAGGTGGGGCGCGGGGGGCACGTGCGCGGGGAAGGAGAGGTTGGCGGGCGGAGTGGGGGACTCGGGGGAGAGCCCATAGACCGCCTCCCATTGCTGCGCGGGGGAGGGGGGTCGGACGGGGGGAAAGGGGGGGAGAGAAGTGGGGGAAAGGAAGTGTGGAGGGGAGGACATGGGGGGGGGAGGAATCGGGCCATGGGAAAACGTAGCAAGGGAAAAGCTCGCGTTAGCAGGATCGGCGGAGCGATGCGGGGAGCGAGAGGGGAGCGATGCGGAGAGCGGTGCGGGGAGCGAGAGGGGAGCGATGCGGGGAGCGGTGCGGGACGAACCCTGGAGAGCGAGAGCGCGTGCTCGAGGCTGGCGACGCCAGGCGTGGCTGCGGACGGCAAGAGACGTGCGAGCGAGATCAGCAGCACCGCCGCCGACAAAGCCGGCAGTCGGGCCTCCATGGACTAATGTCTAGGAACGCGCAATGGTGCGACCGAGAGGGCGCAGGCGGGGCTCAGGTGAACCTGCGTAGAGAGAGTTTCCGCTGCGCCGCTGCGGCCGGCCGAGCGGGAGAGATACACCACGCGAAAAACAGCTGTCGTTTCTGTTTCGAAAGAGGCACTCTACGTTTTCTATGACGCCAGTTGTGGCAGTGGAGGCGAAAGCCCACAGCGACATAGTTTGGTTTGGACGCTGGTGAGTGGATGAGTGTGCTGGCAATCCCTGGACTTGTCAGGGGTAGGTTAGAGCTCATTGGTGACCTCTTTGTAAGAATAGCTTTCAACATATGATATGGACAATTCTGTGTAGCATCTATGCAAGGCTGTAAGATGTGTCGGTATTCCTGATTTTCAGGATGACCACGAGGTGAAATTCCCTGTAATTTCGGTATGCATTTCATAAAGCAACCTTGAGAAATTAGAGCAGTGTACTTGTACCAACCTTGGGGCAATAGTGATGCGATGATACAGGTCTAGTAGGATCTTCAGGATTGAACCAGGGCTGGCGTTTCAAAAAAATGTCTCGAGGACTTAAGCGTTTCTGAAGTGTAAACACCACACTCGAGGAAGATCGTAACGGGTACGCGAGTCAACGGAAGTTGCACGAGGGGATGGACAAACAACACGAAAGGACGCAACCGGAGGTTGCGACTGACCGTTACAACTGCAATAATGGTAACCGAAGCGACAATCGAGTCGCTGTGCGACTCGATAACCGCTCTTCAACTGTATTCTACAAGCTGCTTTCCTACTTTCTATATATTGCTGTATGCTTGTTCTTTTAATCAATCACTTGTTCTCACATACTAGTTCAAGGTGTCAAAAGACTAGCTTAGCTAGGAAGCCATAGAATGGCACAAGGTTTAGCTAGGAGCTAGGAGGAGCCATGAGAATGGCGAGAGGTTTTAGGTGCTAGGAAAGTTGAGGAGAAGAAAAGAGGGTTGGATTAGGAAGAGAGAGGAGTATAAGGAGGGGTTTGTACCCTCTACAGAAAAGGTTCAGTAACAACCTACCAAGCCTATATAAATTATAACTTATATAATTTTAACACAAGGGTTCAACTACTCAACTTCCGCTGCACTACTCAAGTCTCTCTTTTACAACTGGGACTTAGTCTCTGGAAAGATCCTAAGGGCTATTTCTCAGCCCAATATGGTATGAGAGCTGGTCAGAGCCCAAACTCCCAGCAACAACGTCCTCAACAGTCAACACTTCAACAAGCTTCATTAACTACAAGTCATGGACAACAAGGGCAAGAAGACCTCTACAGGCTCACCTAGCGCCCAAGACACCCAACCCGGCAACTCTGGATTACACACTTCAGGACTGCAATCCGAGACCGGCGCTGCTCAAGAAACAACAGGAAGGGCACCAGAAATGGTGACTCCATAACCCTCTTCAAGCGTGGACCCGAACCTTATGGAAAGGTTCTTCAGCTTCATGTCACACTTCGACCAGCAACAGCAGACAATGACACCTGCGCATTCAATACAGAGCAACGGAGGAAACATGGGATTAGCGCCGATAAGCCTCGACAACTCGTCGTTCGGGCGACACAATAAAGCGCCTACCTTTGCGCCTTATCACTCTTCACCGGGGACGTTCGAGTTCATGCCGCCCCGTGCCCAACCAACAGCAGCTGCATCACAACAGACACCAAACGAGATACTGAGTCTCAAGGCGCAGTTTTCACATGTGATCAAACTGCAGACATCCTCACCGTTCAACGGACACGACTTCTTTACCTGGAGCTTTGAGTTCGAGCTGCTGATGGAGGCTGCGCACCTCTTGGGATACTTCAACGGGTCCCTGCCATTTCCAAGCAATGGCACTGCAAAGGAGCAAGAAATATTTACTTATCAGTCACTGCTGGCGTACACAGTTCTCCTACGGAACCTGTCACCACAAGAACAGCAAAGCATCAGAACGTATCGGAGCTATGGAAACTCCGCGGAACTCGCATGGCATCGTCTCAAGTGTCTCTATCAAGCAAACGACAGCGTGACACAAAGCAGACTCATGCAGCAACTGACAACAATACATATGAAGACCGGGGAAAAGGCGATGCAGTATATGAGTCGCTGTCAAACACTCCGCGACCGCCTGCTTCGGTGCGGAGGAACAATCACTGAAGAAAGCTTCGTGACGCTTGTCCTCGCTGGGCTCAGGCCAGAATGGAGAACCACCCGCTCGCTTCTTCGCGCCCACGGACGAATCTCTGAGATGCACCTCTACGCCGAGCTCCATGCTGAACAACAGGAGATGGACCTGTTTGAAGAAAGACAACCAAGGAAACAGCAACCGTTAGTTTTCTACACTCAACGAAGGAACGACAACAATTACAACCGACGCGGCAAACAAGATCAACGCGACAACAGAGGACTCACCATTGTGCCGCCGTTCTGCCACAACTGTCAAACATCCGGACACTCCAAAGTCAACTGCACTCGCCCCCGAGCTTATCGACCAGTAGACCCGCACGTCGCTTCCACTCAAGAAAGCCCGCCGAGGCGTTCCTCATCTGCACAAGGCACACCGAACATCATCAATTGCATGGTACACATCGACAACTGCGCACCCGGATCACCACCCACTTACGCTCCAGACGAAGAAGAACTGACGCCGCCGCGCTCACAAGGACTTCAGGTCAACCCAACGTACGCTGCAGTCGCCAACGCCGAACCCACCGGGCGAGACACTTGGTTCTTGGACAGCTGCTGCGGCCAACACATGTGTTCTTTCGGGCGCTTCATGTAGCGGGAACGACGCCTCAACCGCGATGTCATCATCACCGTCGCCAACAACGAGAACCTGAAAACAAACAGACAAGGAGTGGTTCAGTTGCAGTCCATGGAGACAAACGTTATACTGCAAATCAACAAAGTTCTTATCGTCGACAACTTGGGATACAACTTACTCAGCGTCAGCCAGTTAATGGCAAAAGAGATTCATTTGGAATGCGACTCGGACTCCAATGAATTTCGCCTTTACCACGGGAAGGGCGGTCTTTTCATCGGTCGCGCTCTCCTGAAGTTTGGGCGTCTTCGTGTTGGATTTCGTCCCCGACCGCGGTACTGCCGACAGCGATAGCGTCTTGTCGTTCGCCGCATGGACGCACCCGCCGGATCTTGACCCCGACTTCACCCCAGATGGTTTCTGGTACTCCAACACCATACCTGCAGTAGAGAGAACACGAGCGTTAGCAGTCATTTGAGAAGAAAGACAAGTACCAGCAAGCGTCCCTTCCTCGACATCACCTGAAGTAACAACAGCGGGACCCAGTCGAGTACCATCACCAGCAATCCGAGGACCGCCAACCGAAGCAGATCAACTTATGCCAATCACACGAGAAGTCTGCCGAAGTCCCGCCACGGTCGTCGCGTTCTTCTCCAACACCGACATGTACCAATGCTCGCCCGGCCACCGCGCTCCCGACGACATCTGGCACCAACGCCTGGGGCACCCTGCAAACAGCACAGTACTGCAAACCATCCAAGCCGAACTGTTAGAACGAAACGCTCTTCTTACAAAGAGCGGCCAATAACTTTGACGACCACGCGCACGGTGCTTCACGTGCCCCGAAGCCGATCTTCCCCACCAACCTTTTCCATCACATCACAACCCAAGTGCACCTGCATACGCACCGATCGAAAAAGTTTACAGCGGCATCTTAAACATGCCCCAGGATGACACTGAAGCCGACTTCAACTATGTCATCACGTTCATCGATGCAGCAACAAGATATGTCTGGCACTACAACCTCAAGACGCGCGATCAAGCTTTCGAAGCCTTCACGACTTGGCTCCCCATCGTTGAACGAGAATCAGGAACTACGCTCAAGAACTTCCAGTCAGACGGAGCACTGGAATACCAGTCACAACGATTCAGGAACTACTTGGCGGAAAGAGGAATCAGACGCCTGGTGTCCCTGCCCTACGCTCACTAGCAGCAGGGGGTCGCAGAAAGAATGAACCGGACCTTGCAGACGACGATGCGGAAGCTGCTTCTGGGGATGAGACTGCCCAACACCCTGTGGCCAGACGCGATGACCCATGCAGTCCACCTGCACAATTTGTTATCCTCGTCCTCGCTTCCCAACAACGCATCACCGCACCTGCTGTGGACACGAAAAAGGGGCAGCACAAAATTACTTCGGGTTTTCGGCTGCATGGTACAGTATAGACCCCACACAGCCCAAGCAGGACGTTTCACTCAACGAGCAAGGTGGGGACTACACCTCGGCATCGCCAAACATTTCCAAGCATGGAAACTCCTCGACATTCAAGACAAAAATACTGTGGCATCACGTGATGTGATCTTCTACGAACGACTGCAGCATTACCTGGACAACGTCGCCAACACAGACGACCCCACCGACGGCTTTGTGGGCCTTCGCTCCTTCGCCGACTGTGCTGCCGAGGCTGACGCAGCAGAAGAAGACGTACCTGGAGCTTCGGAAGCTGCCGGACCACTCCCTTACTGTTCCGTGCCTGTTCCACTCGACGACGACAATCCTCTCGATAGCACCAACCTCGACACCCTTTACCACTTCGCTGACCAAGGTTACGTTACACCTCACCCAGTCAACATGAATGTCTCAGAACGCATCGGCCCAAACTTCTTACCTGATCCAGAAGATGGTGACGAAGCAACCTATTCCGGGAATGAAAATTCCCCTCGACAAACGCCCACGGGACTGCAGATACTCGGCTTATGGGTCTCCGTCCAGCACCCGCTGCCGCGGTCTCCGCGCGAGCCAACGACTCTGTCGCAGGCTCTGGGGGGGGAACATAAGGCGAAATGGAAGGAGGCAATGGAAAAGGAACTAAAAGCTCTGCAAGTCCGAAATACATGGAAGCTGGTACCTGCAACGAACATCAACGGGAAGAACGTACTCTCGGGAAAGTGGGTGTACCGCATCAAGACCAATGCGAACGGCTCCATCGAACGATTCAAGGCTCACTGGGTCGTACGAGGATTCGATCAATGATACGGAACCGACTACCAGAAACATTCGCCCCAGTCTCCCGCCACACCTCCTTGCGCATTCTACTCACCGTCGCGGCCACGAAGAAACTACCACTGCGCCAGATCGACGTCGCAAACGCCTTCCTGTACGCACCTGTGGACGCCAAGATCTTCGTCGAGCAGCCCCACGGATTCATCGACGACCCCACAAAAGTATGCCAGC